TCCTTGAAAAAAAGCAGTTTCTGTCAGAGCTCTCTCAGCCCCACCTACCTCACAGGGTGTCTGTTGTGGGGAGGGGAAGGGAAAGGCGTTTGTAAGCCGCTCTGAGACACCTTTGGGTAGTGAAGGGCGGGGTATAAATCCAATCTCCTCCTCCTCCTCCTCCTCCTCCTCTTCTTCTGGTGTGAAAAGATGTAAACTATTTGACTATGTGGATGCATTTTGTTTAACTGAGATTCTGGTTCATCATGACCCATGTCATTAATTAACAATTAACTGATATGGAGTATTAGGAATAGCATGGTGCCACGACTCCTTAATTTAACCTCTTTTTAAAGAATTAGAAGGTTAAATCCTTGACATTCTCAGGGTTGCCAGCCCCAGGTTGGAAAATGCCTGGAGATTTTGGGTGTGGAGACTAGGAAGGGTGGGGTTTGGGGACGGGAGGGACTTCAGTTGGGTACAATGCCATAGAGTCCACCTTCCAAAGTGGCCATTTTCTCCAGGTGAACTGATCTCTGTCGCCTGGAGGTCAGTTGGAATCCCAGGAGATCTTCAGCCGCCACCTGGAGGTTGACAACCCTAAACGTTCTTGATATGGCAAGGGCTGGGAGGCAGCTCTGATCTAAACAGGTCCACTAAAAGACTTAGACTCCCATGAGCTCAGACTGATATAAAACCCAAAGTAACATAACTGTTCAGTCTTTCTTTTCTCCATTTATTGTGCCTGTGCCAATGATCACTGGGGGTTAAATTAATTATGTTTGATCTGTATATACCGAAGATACATCCTGGGGCAGCCTTAATTATTCTGATGCCCATTGAGGAAATGCAATTATATATCCAGAAATCTGGAAGCTGTAATTTAAAGCTTCAGAGCTGCTGAAGTTAAAAAGGCATTTAGTGGTACCAGGAGAGTGTGACATTTTAAATACTGACAGTGCTGGATAAGTTGTAGATAAATTACATGGCCAATACTAGCCATTCTTTGGCCTCACTTGGTCGTACATAGCTGTAGGTATGTACCTGCACAGGCAGGCACCCCATGAAACAGTGTAGTCTATTGCAAAGAGCATTTGAAAACCACAGAATATGATGTACGTACCTGTGTTTTGTATCAACATATGGTAAAAACAGCTTCTTGCTAAAAAAATTAGAAAGTGAGTGCTGCTTATTATTACCTAAGTAGCAGTTCGAAAGCAAGAAATTGCAAGTAGATAAATAGGTACCACTTCAGTGGGAAGGTAACAGTGTTCCGTGCGCCTTGGTGTTTAGTCATGCCAGCCACATGACCACAGAAATGTCTTCGGACAGCGCTGGCTCTTCGGCTTTGAAATGGAGATGAGCACCGCAACCCTAGAGTCGGATTCGACTGGCTTTCGAGCAAGGGAACCTTTACCTTTTTATAGGTCTTATTAGCTACTTTGATATCTGTCTTTCATGCAAGTATCACTAACATCTATGAAGACAAAGCCTTAAAGACTGCAGACATATTTTGGTCCTGCAGATGAATCATTCCCATCCTGCAGGTTATGTTCCAAAACAAGGGAAGCGAAGCTTACATTTATCCAACATGACACGGAAAGAAAACTTTCAAACAGCTTCTTTCCTTCTTGCCATTTACAGTTGCCAGCTGGTTCAAATTGCAGCCAAATATTCTAGTGTTATCTCTTTTCTTCTATGCAGATAATCTCCCTGTGTATATTTCTGAGAGCTCTTCAGGAATACACAGGCCTGCACATTCGCTGTAAAAGTCAATAGCAAGTTTAGGAGACCATGTTTATACTGAAAGCGCAGCCGAGCAAGTTGGCATCGCTCTCCCAGTCATTCTTTGCTCATCCACTTCTTTTCAAAACCTCCTGAAAGACAGCTTCTTTTCCACCATTTAATTCCCCAAATTACTGTACTCAGCAGTTCAGAATATTTTTGGCAGATTGCAAAAAAAAAATGCTTTAATGACTGGCAGCAGAACTGTTTAGCTTCTAATTCATGGTCTGGGCCTCAAGTGAGGTGAATTTAAATCGACTTGGCACTCCCTGGCCAATGCCTTGGTGGAGAATGAAGCCGTGTCCTAAATCAGAACAAATGCGGCTCCTGTCTGAGCTTCGTTTACTGGCTAGCTTACAAATCACCCATCTGAGTGCTGACCCGAGCAGAAATTGCCCAGGCCTAGCCGATCGAAACTAGGCAATCCTGACATCCGTTGATGACACGATCTTAGAATGCGGTCCTTTTAAAACCAAGGTTCTGCTCCAGGTTTCCATGAAGGCATACTGGTCTTTTCACTGCTAATCCTCCACAAGAAAAAGAGATACTGCTCTCTCTCTTTTTTTGGCTCATGTTAATTCATGTATGCAAATTTTCTGTTGCCTAGCATTTAGTAGACTAACAAACGCTAACCAAAAAAACCCACACAACCCTGTATGGTTCAACGGAATGCATGCATGGAACTGTTTGCGCCGTTGAAGAAAACTGGAAAGTCTGGTATGCATGAGAACATCGGTGCACACACCCATACACACGAGGAGTTTCAGGGTGATGCTGTATATTCATTGGGGCTCTAGATCTGTTGATCGGCATCACAACGTATTGAGTAAAGGCAGGAAATAATGTACAATTAGTATTTTTATTCATACAGTGCCGTGAACATACGTGGCACTTAAGAGTTTCATTAGTGAAAAAGCCAAGTCCCTGCCCTCAAGGAGCTTATAATTTAAATTTGCTTGTGCGGGAGAGAGAGGGAGAAAAGGATGAATATGTGAGCAAATGCAAGCACACTTTCTTAAGCTGGATTCTGATTTGAGTGAGCCAAAAGCTTCATGGGAATGAATGGATTGATGGTTGTAGAACCTTGCTTTTAGATTGGACATGAGACAAGCTAAGGGAGGATTAGACAGAGTATGATAAAATACTGTGGAGACAAGGATTTTGTTGTTCTCTATTGTAAAACGAAGTCGGGGGTTATCCACAGAAATTAACTCTTGTTCAGGAGAGTTTGTGCATCCGCCCAATACATAATTAACATGGAACTCCATGCCACAATATGTGTTGAAGGCTACTGACCTAGACGGCTTTTACAAAGGATTAAATCAAGTTACAAAGGAAAAGTATATCGATGATGATTCACTGTGATACCTATATGAAGCCTCCATGTTTAAAGGCAGTATCATCAGCATAATCGTCAGTTTGATAGTCAAGTGAATGTGGCCTGTTATGTTAAGCGGTAAAACTGAGTCACCCAAAAGCAAGACAGGATTTTTGTGTACTTGGGGGACTCCCTGGGTATGCAAAAAACCCCAAAAGTTCTACATATATCAAAAGAAAAAGACCCTCCTTCCTGCCTCAAAAAAACTAGCCCTATGGAATGGAATATAATCTAGGAGGCAGAAAATATTGAGAGCAGCTGAGAATCAGTTAAAAGGAAAAAGGAAAGCCAGAAAACATGGTTGCACTTACCTGTAACTGATGTTCATTGAGTGTCTTCTGTGCAGGCACACATAGGCCTGCCTTTAGGCAGTCCCATGAGGGACTGCACAGAAGACAGGAAAATGAACTGCTGTGCAGGCCAGCCATTCATGGAACTGCGTTCTTTTTTCATGGGATTTCACATGGGAGGGACGCACAATCTAGTTTTTGTACTGAACAGTTTGGTGTGTTTGTGTGTATTAAGGGCCGTCAAGATACTGCCAACTCATGGCAACCCTATGAATGAATGTTATCCCAAATTTCCTATTGTTAACAGCCTTGCTCGGGTCTTGAAAACTGAGGGTGGTGGCTTTCTTGATGGAGTCCGTCCATCGCATGATGGGTCTTCCTCTTTTCTCGTTGCCTACAACTTTTCCTAGCAGAGCACTTGATGGGCAATTTTATTTCATCTTTCCTGCAATCCCCCCCCCCTCTCTCTCACATACATTTTGATGAAGATATTCTAAAGAACAACTGTGTTCTCCAAAATTTAAGGTCCCGCAAGCAGTCAGTGTGCTAATTTGCACATGTTCTCTCTGAGCAGAGGGCAGAACGTTCAAAAGGACAGTTGGGAGTGACGGTTGGCCTGTCTTTTTCCCTGAGTCATTTTACCTGAAGGGGTTTTATCTGAGGAGCACTGAAGTCTGAGGGAACGCACTCACACTCAGTTTGGGTGACATGGGTGAGAAAGATTTTGTATGTGAATTAAGAGAAGAGATGTCACATCGGAAGAACGGGAACAACACCAGTTTCGAAAGAATCAGAAAAAAAAAACTGTGTTGCCTGAATCTTTAAAATATAGGTGGTTATTAACCAACTTAGGCCAAGGCTTGAAATAATATACATACGATCCCTGTATTCCTTATTCATCTATGGAGATTACACCTTTATCCTACTCATGGGTTTCCTAAAGGCAGCTGGCTGGCTACTGTGTGAACAGAATGCTAGACTAGATGGGCCTTTGGTCTGACTGACACAAGTTCTCCTCCTCAGTGTTCACGTGGAAAGTTGGGTGCTTGCTTGTACCCGTCTGTTCTTAGTATGTTCTTGTGGTTTAGACTGAGGAAATCCTGTTCTGATCATTGGGCCATTTTGTTGGATGTTTGTGTATTTATTTTATCATATTTCTTAAAGACTGGAGGAAACCATAAAGACCCCCCTCCTTAAGTTATTACATGGTAATAATTAATTCAAATAGTTTTGTTTGATAATGTGCATATTCTCCTGTGAATGGGCAATGTGTGTTTTTATTTTGCTTTTGTCTAAAGATAATTTTAAAAAACCATGTCAGGCTAGGAGAATTATGTCATATAATTAATCTTATGCTATAACTTATTATATAACATTTGTGCTACACATAATTAAAGGATCCCGGAGTTTGGGAATTTCCCTATTTTTAGCTGTAGACGAAGTATAACTGCCAAGATAATTCTCTCTAGATTACCCAGAAGATTGTTATAGTTTGGGTCTGTCTGTTGCTCTAATCTAGTTAGGAACAGCTATTTCTATGAGATGAAACTGTTTTATCTGTTTTGCAGGCAAATATGTCCAGCGAAACCCAATGAATCAGATGCTGGCAGAAACACTACTACGGAGAAGACTGGGAGGTAGGACCAATAGGATTGAATATTATGTTACAGAAATTAAATAAAATTTACCTGAATTGTTTAGAGCTCCAAGTATCATCTGCATACTGAAGAAGTAAAAATATGAACCAAGTTCTAAGTATCTCTAATAGTTGTTCTGAAGTAGCTGTTCTGTGTGTGGGGGGGTAAGAGTTCACTGGGGTGGGGCTGATTGCTGGGTCCCCAAACCCTGGGACCACATTCAACAGCAGTAATTGATGGTAATACTGTCTTCCTACTTTTGCTATGCTAATTCATCCATCCATCCATCCATCCATCCATCCATCCATCCATCCATCTATCCATCTATCCATCTATCCATCTATCCATCTATCCATCTATCCATCTATCCATCTATCCATCTATCCATCTATCCATCTATCTATCTGATTTATATCCTGCCCTCCCCGCTCATGGCGGCTTTAACTATGCTAATTTAACTATGCTAAATTCCTTCTGTCATTCGTGCTAAATGAATACAACTGTATTTCCTACTTCTTGGCTGTTAGCAAACCATAGTTTGCAGTATTGTCCAACCTGGCACACTGTAGTTTGTTGTTTCCCTCCAAAACCAGAATTTCAAGCCAACATCAAACCATAGTTCACAGTTTTGGTTTGGAGGAGGAATGCAAATCACCATTTGCTGACCTGGGTAAGACAAAATGGCAAACAGTTGCTTGCAAATCACTGGGAGGTCCTCCCATAACCCCAAGCCAAGTCCTGGCATTATGTCTGAGCCATCTTACAGTGTTCAGTGTGAGACGAAACTGACGAGCATTTTCTTGGGTGTTTAAAAAAACAAAACCAGTCTCATCCAGCTGTTCAAATGATTTGAAAATCCAGAAACTTCAGTCACAAAGATTCTATGTGACTTGTTTGCTTTCGGCGTCGAATTAATAATTTAAGTAACTTGCAGTTGCTATTTTTCTGTGCTCCACTGATGATGCTTTGTCTCCAAAGAAGCCAAGACCTGGACGATCTCATCCAAGTCAAACCTGCAGGTGATAAGAATGAAAAAGAGTAAGTCTCAGAAGGCTCTTTCTCATCATTTGCTTCCAACTGGTGCATGACCATGGGAGTCTAGAGAGAGGGCAAAGACTTGGACTTCTAGAATGAGTTCATTTCCAGTGTAATCTCTTGAGATGAAAACACAGGATGTCATGAGCAGCATCAGATGAGGGAACCCTGGGCTTGTTCAGAGGGTAGCTGTTCTCCCTCCTGCCCTCCCTTCCTGGAGCCCATGGCACAGTAAGATAAAGACCAAGTGTTGGGTTTACAGGCTTCCTCCCCTACCAAACTACCACATGTGGGATTTTAGGTTAGTTTTTAATTTGCCCATCTAGCCAATCGGGTGAACTCAAAACTTGGTTTTATGTGGATTGTTATTGTTAAGTCTGGCGCTTAACAATAAGTCAGAGAGTGATTTCAGCAAAACTCAGGTTTATTCAGCTCGATAATCGACTTCTCCAACACGGTACAACTCCTCATAGCCCGAACAGCTTGTCCATTTCAGCTGCTCGGTATTTAAACATTCCGGGCTAATGTAGCCACACCTACTATACATATTTCAACCTATCAGGTTGATCGCATAACAAACCAATCATAAGCTTTCCCGCTTACATACAGTTCAAATGTGATTGGCCGCAAAGTCTTCGGCGCGAATCCCTGCCGAAGCCTGAAGCTTAACATAGCTTCTCTATGGGGATGATTCACATTCATCCTAGCATATTCAGGGCAGCATCTGAATACACTACAGTTATATTTAGTTTTTAATTTGCCCATCTAGCCAATCAGGTGAAGTCAAAACCTGGTTTTATGTGGATTGTTATATGCATTTGTAGTTTTATTCTTTCAGGGCAGCATCTGAATACACTACAGTTATATGCATTTGTAGTTTTATTCTCCCACCCGTCCCTTTTAAAAGGCTGTTAATTTTATGGAACAGTACATTCTTAGGAATGGGATTTTTTTTTCCCCATGGAAAAATAAAGCACTGGCATTCCCACCCCCACACCCGTATTCCTGGTTCTGGGATGCCCTACATTAATTTAAACATCTCTCTATGTCTAAGTCTGTGATCCAGATCATTCTTTCAAGCCGGGATTTGGTTGTGGAGCAGTCCCGTCATATGTGAGGCAAAGTGCCCTGATTCAAGGGTTAACATGAATATTAGCAGGCCTGCTCTGGCTTCCAGTTGTCCATAACTGGGCCTCCCTGCTGACACCATCCTTATCTCTTTCAAGGCCAGATTCAAGAATGTGGCAATTGGCTAATCGTGAGAACCTGTGGTCAGTTCTGTAATTAGATGGGAGGGGGGAAGCAGGAGCGGATGTCATAATCTTCTGGAGGGTTCCACCCACTGAGCGCCTTGATTGGGCTTGGGAAACCACCTGGTGCCAGATGGCCAAAGACTATAGTTAAGCCATAGGCAAGAGAAAAGCCATGCTAACTTTGTGATTCGACTGGGCAGTGGCTCTAATTATGTCATGCTTCATCACAATGGATTGCTACATAGAGAACACTTAAGCCTCTAGCTTGGACTCTTATATTCTAGGAAGGTGTGCCATCTAATACCAGGTCCTAAAGTATTAGGTCGAAAGTTAGCCTTTGTTGTTTTCTTGCTATTAGATTGTAGAGACTGTGTTGCCTAGTGATTCCTTATTTCTTAAAGTATTTAAGAAACTTTTATATAGTTTACAAAGGTCTAGTTTCTTGTGTGTGCACGGGTCTGAGTACAGCTCACCTGCCCAAGGGGCAGTGACTCAGGGGAACCCTGGCTCGGGTCCTTGACATAGATATTTGCACTGCAGAAGTAAACTGACAAGGCGAGTTGTAGGTTCATCTCTGTAATTATGTTTTTAACTCCTTAAATCATTGTGTAATCATGTATAACTACTGTTGTAACCCTCCATGAGCCCTGCTATGAAGAGGGCGGGTGGGCTAGAAATTCAATAGTAAATGAATGAATGAATGAATGTATAAAATAAGTTGGACAGAGAAAATTTTGATCTTACAACTGCTCCTGTCCCCTTTGCTCCACTATCTTACAAATTGCCCTAGTACTAGGAAAATGTAGTTGCTCCCATGGCCATTATTATGCTAGGAACACGAAACATCTTTCCCTCCTCCTTTATCTAATAAACAAGGTCAGGTGTATTGCATGTAATTCTTTTCCCTTCTTATTCTTTGAAGAAACCTAGACGATCTGATCAAAGTGAAGCCTGCATCGAATGGACATAACAAGGGGTAAGTCTTGCTGCTGAGGAGCATATCTGTGGTACAAACATAATCTGATTTTGAAACCACCTTCCCTTTAGTTCATAATCCATTTTTATATAACCATTCTCAAGTCAGGGAACTCAGAATCCAATTTAAACATCAATAAAACTATCTGAAAGGGATGTCCATTATATGTCTCGTACTGTTCCTATTGGGCTGTTGCATATTTTGTGATCACCCTTGAGTTGCAGCAAGGAAGTTAGAGTCCGGTGGCACCTTTAAGACCAACAAAGTTTTATTCAAGGTGTGAGCTTTCATGGGCACCCACGCCTCACCAGATGATGAAATGGAATGACAGATCATAGTTGTATATATAGGAGTGGTTTGTTAAATTAGCATGCAAAGTAGTGAGGACACTTCTTTAACAGATCAAAAGAATGACAAGCTTCGTTCTGTTTCGGTTCAACTGGGGGGGGGGGACACATAGGGAATAAATATGTTAGAACCAGGGGTCATTTCGTAGAAAAAGAGCTAGGGGAACTCATTAGCATAACTCATTAGCATATGCCACACACCCTGACATCAGGGACCCGGCAGTGGACCTGCAAGGCCGGCGGGAGTGCGAGGAAGCCCCGTGAAGGCCCTCCCTGGCCCCAGGCAGGCAGGAGTGGGGAGAGGCGGGCAGGAAACAATTTACCCTCCCTCTCCTCCTGCCTCCTCCTGGCTGAATGAGGGCTGGAAGCGGGGCGGCTGGAAGCAGGGGGCGGGGCTTCATCGTGTGCCCCACACCTCACCCGGGGGACCTGCGATCCCCCGCGTCCCCCCCCCCGAAATGACCTCTGGTTAGAACTATGATAAGTAATTCCATTTCACCTTCTGACGAAGTAATAAAAGGTAATAAATATGTTAGAACTATGATATGTAATTCCATTTCACCATCTGACAAAGTAATAAAAGGTAATAAATATGTTAGAACTATGATCTGTAATTCCATTTCACCATCTCACACCCTGAATAAAACTTTGTTGGTCTTAAAGGTGCCGCTGGACTCTAACTTTGTTCTGTTGCTTCAGACCAACAAGGCTGCCCACCTTGATCTCTCAGCAAGGAAGGCAGACTATAAATAAAGTAGATGAAGAAATAATGTAAGAAAAGAACAAATACAGGAGCCAATCTCCAGATTGCCACCTAGCAATTGTTGGAACTTTCTGCCACCCTCCAGATTG